CAAGGTTGTATGGACTTTTGCAATCACGCACGTGACGAGTTGGAACCTGAAATACAGGTCCGCGGCGCGGCTTCTTACCACGACACAGCTTCTTATTATAGCATAGCTTATCACAACACAACTTACCTCATTACAGCTTATCTCAACACAACTAATCTCAACATAACTCCTTATAACACAGCTTCTAATAACACAACCTTTTATAACACAGCCTATTATAGCACAACTAATCACAACACAACCTACGGTAGCATAACCTATTATAATACAACTTATTATAACACAACTTCTAATGGCACAACTTATCACAACATAACTAAAGCTCTTCTTGCGCTTCCCCTAACCCCTGCGCCATATACTTCCCGCGCCATACATTTCCAGCTCCTCCACAACGACAACCAGGTATATACACGGTAGTCTGCCCATCGTCTTCCTTTCCGCTCTTCGCAGTCACACTGACGTCTCGCTGAAGGAGTTGTGTTGCGCCTCTGTAAGGCACCGCTACATCCCCTCGAAGTGGGACGATCACCCGCTAACACCCACAACAGAAGACTACAAGCAAGACGACACCCTACAATGATGACCCGCTACGGCTCGCGCTTGAGAGTACCCTCTAAAAGAGGCACGATGCAGTCTTCACGCCGCCAATCACTCCGCCTCTCGAAGGGGACCGACCGCTGGACGAGCCTGTTTATGTACCGTCGATAGACAGTGAATGCTGCGTTAGGTGGTGAAGACGGCCTGGACGAGCGAATGCAACAGATCTAAATGCGCCCCGACCCGCCCTCACTCTAGGCCGCTACCACCCTCCGTCTCTCCGAGCAGCGGTAGCGATCACGCCATTAAGGCGCTCCATAGAGCCTCCGGGTTCAGCTTGAGGGAGAAGCGCATACACAGATCAACCGGAAGTCCTGACTCTGACTCGTGGATGAGACGACGCACAAGAAGCATGTCGGGAAGCAGCTCGGATCCTTGAGACCGAGGGAGAAGTATCAAGGAAAGGCCTAAAACGGATCTCAGACGAGCTCCAGTGAGCGAAAGGAGTAGCTTAAGACCAGAGCCGACATTTGAGAGTCGTTAAGACGAGCCGAGGATACGGAAGAGGGAATGCGTGTCGCTAATGAGGAAGTCCGAGCTCGTTAAGGGAAGGCTGGTTAGAACCAAGCTAAAGCAGGAGTCCGTATTGGTTGCGAGCCTTTGAAAGGAGCTTGAGGAAGAGGAGAAACTAGGGCAGGATGCCTCGGCGGAACAGAGCGGACGACTGTAGAGTCGCAAAACGCCGACTCTAAGTCGGAAGATTAGCTAAGCCGGCTCGCCGAGTCGACGACGGGTGAGTGATGGTTCTGGAAGGGAGAGGGTCGAAAGGAACAACGACTCGGCGGCCTCGCTGATGTCCAATGTGTTCTGCCGTTCGGCGTTGTCATCACACCAGAGGACGCTAGGACGAGAAAGACACGGCAGTTGAAGTGATGGGAAATCGCCGAAAGGGTGGGGATCACCATGCTTCAAGACACCTCAACAGACGGTACAATAGTCGAGAGGGTATGTCTGAAGGGAAACCCGTCGAAAAGACTGCGCCAGAGGAGCACAGTGGTCGAAGAGGGGAACTTTTGAGAACTCGTCCAAAGGACCCACAACTCGGTTGCTCAGTCAAATGTAATGATTCAAATCTCCTTGCCAAATTAGGACGAGCATGTCGAATTCATCTTTATTCTGCCATGCGACGGCCATAGTGAGGAGTGATTCGGATATCAGCGCTGGTTACCTCCAAGCGTCGCGCCTACCCTACATCAGGCTTCAGCAGCGTCGGTCCTTAGTAATCCTCGTTCCCAACGACAGCAGCACTTGTTCCCGACGGCCGCAGGCCTCCTTCCTAGCAATATCTGCCCTTGATCCAAGCAGCCGCCCTCAGTCTCAGTATCCCAGCAGTAGCGGAGACCTGATTTCAACCTTCATGCATGCTCAGTATCACCCTCCGCGCTTAGTCTCAACGCCCAGTCTTCGTCCAGAGCAGTAACGACCTTCCTAGAGCCTCCCGTCATCCGAGCTCTCAAGCGTCCGGCTCAGCCTGCGTGCTCAGCCTCCGAGTTCAGCCTTCGTGCTAGTCCGCCTTCCGCGTCCGCCGTCCTTCTCCGCACAACGGAAGCCACTTCATCTCGAGCACGATACTGCGCGATTTGGTCACCGGCCGTCACTGCCGTCTTTCGGCTTGCATCATCTATACGTGACCTTCACATTCACTTTTCGGGTAACAACTGGCCCGACAAGCCTCATAGCTATCAAGCACCGCGCGCTGCCATCAGCTTCGACCCCTGAATTTGGTCTCCAGCTTCTGGTTCTTGTCCTCGAGCTTCAATCTTGACCTTCGGACACCCTCACTCTCTACCCACTCCAATCTCAATCTTCGAGCATCAGTCTGCCCCCTCAAGCCTCCCTTCTGCCTGAGGCACCGTCCACCAAAGCGAAAAGTTTGCATTCTGTCAACTGGCCGCGCAAGGCGTCAGACATTAAGCGGCGGTGAATTCGTCAAAGATTCTCCCTTCGGAGTCTGTGCCACCTATGGAAATTGCCTCAGCATATCTCCGCCGCCAGCAACAGTGACCTCCCGTCCGCCAACCCCTCGTGACTGCCGACATTCTGAATAGTTACATCATAACTAAGGGAGCACACCAACTAAACGCTATTGATAACGCTAACGGAGGCGCCGCGGTTTCCATCGAGCAAGCCGAAGCTGAACTTCGTCGGCCAGTTAGCAAAGCCGAGCGAGCATCGCATCTCGCGTCACAAGAGTAGGCAGCTCCGCCTACCCTCCGCTGACGTCAGGCGCTGCCGCGCCGGCGCGACTTCATGCCGGATGATACAGGGGACAACGCGCTCAGCAAATCGCGCACACCACTCTAAGACGGAGCTAGGGGGAAAGTAGATGTCAGCGCGCGGTTCTCACCGAGTGCTTGGCGGTTCGTATTTGCGGTTCCACAGATTGATAGCCGTTTCCGAACCTTCGTGAGACATCAACTCTTAGCACCACATCAGTATCAACATGCTTTAGCGTATTCAGGCGGAAGCTGTGGCACTCGGTAAGCGTGATCTAGTATTTATAACACGCGGCGAGGTCCATTAGCGTAGCTTCTCGGTCGAAGCTAAAGTTCCTTATTAAGCCGTCAAAAGTCTGTCCGCCGGAACTCAGCGTGGATTTCTTGATCTCAGTCCTTCGAGGGTACCGCCTTGCCAGCGAGCTCCTCCAGACTCGGCCCAGCGATCCCGGGTACAAGGCTCGGCTCGCCGGCGGGAAACAGAACATCATCCCCATCAAGAGGTGTATGACTGCTCTCTTGCCCATTACTGAAGCGGTCAGGGAGCGAAAAATAGATAACCTCTTCACGCCAATGGATAGGCGGTGGTTGAGAGCGCTCTCGTGATGGGACCGTCACCTTGCTAGTTCCAGCGGGGCGCGTTCGTTCCGCACATTATTGGCTCTGAAGTCCGCTCAGGACATCGCTGACGTCCCAAGAGGAGCAGGGAATAACAAGGCCTCACAGAGTAGATGAAGATATAGAGCGTGCACCTCCTCAATAACGTTGAAGATCGAAGGGCAACGCTACCGATGAGGCTGGGCTTTTTGAGTTGTAGACGCGGCGTACAGCTTCAGCAGCTCGGTTTCAACTATACATCCTGAATGGCGTGACCGGCGCAGCTGAATTCTGGCGCCATAGTTGCGACCAAATGCATCATCCCGTCCTGCAAAAGCCAACTCATATGCACACAATGCATAAAGCAGGCAATTGTTCACGTGTTCTATAGGCTCATCCGATCCCGATGTGCTCGACCAATACAGCTGTGCAGGGATAATGCAATTGGTTTGAACTTCCCCCGGAGTTCAAACATCCAGAGTGGCCCAGGCGAATGGAGGCAGATTTTGTCAGGTAACAAGCTGCAAAAAGGCAACACGATAGGGGCCCTACAGCCGCGATAATTCTATAATTTCAAAGCCTACCTCTCCAAAGAATGTCTCAACACAACATGATTGGTTGCATCCGTCTCTAAACGGCGCCGAGTAGGCAGTCGAAGTGTAATGGCAAGCGGGAGCGGCTATGAATAGCTTCCGGTCCTCAAGCTGATGCAGCTGATGGTCAGCAAAGGGTCCAAATAATCCGAGAGGGTGGTGACCTTTTAAAACTTACGCCGTGGACGATCAATCGTAGGTCTCACTGGATAGCCTGAGTGGGTAAATGAGGGGACCTAGCGCCTTGGCGTCAGGCTGTGGGGTTATGGTCCCCGTATAGCTTTAAGTCTGTTGGGACGCCGATGCAACCAAAATGATCATCAGCCGCGAGATGGCGCACACCCTCGTGCAGCCGCGTGATGTCGCCAAAGTCTCGATTCACATCTAGGGGACCAGCCCTACCAGGGTAGAGAAACGGTGCATTTGCCGCATCCAGCGTGTGTGAGCCAGCCAAAGCAACCGATGATTGCAGTCGAGGTTCAGCTCAGGCCTCCCCTAATCGCGCCTCTCCTCGACTCCATGTCAGATCCAGCTCTTTCCTTTTCTATTACGTCACAAGATCTGTTCCGATTGCCTTCGTGGATATTGTCTCATAAGAATGTACTTATATATTCGCCTTAATCCCTTTACGTTCGTGTCCTCAAATTTCAGAATTCTAGTGCTACATTGACGTATCGCTCCGACCTCATTCCGCTCTTTGAAGTGCACTCACTTCGCATCTCTTAGATTTAGTAGGTCAAGCACTTCCCTAAATTGTCACTGTTGATTCGACAAGTTCTAGCCGGAACTAGGTCGTCCAGGTGAACGAAGCCACTGTATTAAGCTACTGTGTTGTGCCAAAGTGCGTTTAGCGTCTTCTATATACTGGAATTCGCGTAGTATCCTAGACCCTCTTTCGTCTACAAGAGTAACGCTTTGCACATCACTTATTATACCGAATATATCTTACTCAGACTAAGGTGGAGCTAACAGACATCTTCATGTTCAGGGTCTCATCATGCCGACACCGTCGACACTAAACATCGCGCTTCAAAATAGGACGAACTCAAATACAGTCTACGCCTACATCACAGGCCGGGCGCCTGATCACAACAATGCTTTATTCATTCTTCAGCGGGACGGTATAACGCCGTACTACCCAACCTCGCCGCCGGAGGATGGCACTTCTCTAGAGCAGGACTGTGCAATTCGCCTCGGTGCTCCAGACACGACCACCACAGTCACTACTCCCCACCTCGATAGTGCACGAATATGGTTTTCGGTGGACGGAAAGCTGACATTCAAATTGAACCGCGGCCCCGCTCTTGTCGAACCCTCAGTTTCTAACCGCTCTGACCCGAACATCGATACTAATTGGGGGTTTGCTGAGTTCACCTATAATAATCTCCAGCTGTACGCCAACATCACCTACGTGGACTTTGTGTCAGTGCCGATCTCGCTCACCCTCACGAGCACCACCGGCGCCACCCAACATGTTACGGGCATGCCAGCCAACGGCCTCGACATCGTCTGCGCTGGGCTCAGAGACCAAGATGCTCGGGATAATGCCGGGTGGAGCTCGCTGGTCGTGCGGCGGCACGGGAGGAACCTGCGCGCCCTGAGCCCAAACATCGGCATCGTGGTAGACCCGCTCCTATTCAAAGGCTATTTTGAGCCTTACGTTGACCAAGTCTGGCATAAATATGTCACTAAACCTCTCTCAGTCAACACGCAGACATCAAGCGGCGTGATAAACGGCCAGGTCATTCAACCCGAGCTTATCCTAGGCGCCCACGCATTTAGCAAACCCTCTACCCGAGATATCTTCAGCTGCAGCACGGGTCCGTTCGAGGAGAGGGGGTCTGCTGAGCGAGGGAATCTGATCGCTAGACTCAGCGCGGCTTTGAACCGCTCTACCATCTTGGTTGACGACACGATACCTGATACACCTCCGACTTACTTCCAGCATCCAATCACGAACCACTACGCGCGAATTGTGCACGACGCGAATCTGGACGGCAGGGGATACGCGTTCCCGTACGATGATGTCACTCCGACGGGCGGCAGGGATCAGTCTGGTGCGGTGAACCATGGGAGTCCAAGGTTGCTGACGGTTGCTGTTGGTGGGAATGGCGCGTCTTTGCTCGGGCCTGGTATCAGAGCTGAACTTTGATTGCCGGAATAGTCAAAGCACTGTAAGATCAGACACGGGACGGTTTAGCGTACCGTCTACAGTCTGACGAGCTGATGATGATACTTTTCGGTGTTATTAGGGGTTTGGAACCGCAGGATAACTGTATTTAATCGCGCGCGGTTGATAGGCCTCGGCTAAATGCAGGTTAACACCCTAACGACCTTGGAGTCTTTGTTCTTACGGTCAAGGAAAATCTTCTTGGATTACAAGTTATTCGCGCACCACGCATAATGACAAAAGCATAAGCCCTTTGTTCTCAGCCAGTGCATTATCGCCAACCCCGCATTTCAGCGCATCTTTTCAACGACGGTAGCCGATTGCGCGCGTCGTACAGCTTCCTGGGCTTAGTACCTGTACCGATCACTGCAGTGCTTTACTGGAGGCGCTTTTATGTCGTACTGCCTGGCGTCTAAGCTACTCACGTGCGAATAGGGTCTTTACTACAAGGACTCTCCTATTGACCGACAAGATACCTTAAAGCTCCGCACTTATCGCTCTTGACGCTGCTGTTAGGCGCAGATATTAGGTCAACTAAATCCGGTCGCTTTCCGCCGTAACTGTAATAATCAAACCTGCAGCACGTTCTTCTGAGCCCGGGACGGGGGTAAGTTATTTTATATCATTCATCTTGTATAGATATTAGCTAACAATACTATCTAGAAACAGACCTAGAGCTATTTATATCTATAATATCTTAAAGAGAGTAGTATAACATTTATTAAGAATAAGTGAAGCTTAGGATAATACCTATAAAAGTAAGTATTAGAAGTGATTAGTAGCTTATTATCATATATACTTATACTTATTTCTAAGATTATTAAGTATATTAATTAGTATAAATGCTTTCTATATTCTATATAAGAATAATTATAGAAATTAGTGGATATAGTTTTACCGCAAATTAGTTATATTTATATAAAGTATAATTTCTATACTCTATACATCGAAGTGAGTCTGTGTAAAAACTATAACTTTTTTTAAAATTTGTATAATAAAGATATAAAATGTAATGTAGCTATTATAAAGATAGAATTCTAATTAAGAAGAAAGAGAATAATGCTAAGATATAGTTAATAAAGGTAAGAAATAATATTATAAGTGAGATTAGATCGGCTATAAAGAATACTAGGATTTTATTTAAGCTAAATATACTATCTAAAGAGTAAAAATAGTTTAGATCTTTTATTATTCTAAGATAATATACTCTTTCTAAAGAGTTTTTATTCTATTAAGCTTACTAACCCTCTAAACTATATATAATATTTTATATACTATCTAATTAATTAAGTTCTAGTATAAAGTCCTCTTGCATTGCGATAGTATATATTAAACTAATACTTATTATATCTTTTCTTTAAATAAGCTTATACTATTCTATTAAAGTAAATACAAATTATGTTTATTTTTTTCTCTACTATATCTATCTACTACTTTAATTTCAACTAGTTTAAGTTAGAATTTCAATTAAAAAGAAAGCAAATAGTACTTAAATATAGATAATAAGATAAAAAATCAAGATTATAAGTAGAATTAGTCTCTATTATAAAGAATACTAAACTCTTATTTATATTAAGTATACTATTCTAATTAATAAGTATAGTACTACTTTTATACTAGTAACTTTCTACTATAGTCTCTTAGATTAGTATAATTAAGCTAATTACTCTAATTCTACTAATTACTCTATTCTTAGTAGTGTTTTACAATTAATAGTTACTTAATACTTAGTATTAATTATTTTTCTTAATCTATTCTGCAACTTGAGTTCGTAATATTAATATCTTTTATAAGAGTATTAATAGAGAGGATTTAGTTGCTAGATATAGAGCTAGCTTAAGTAATAAACTATATTATCTCTTATATTACTTACATTCTTTTTCTAAGTAGTTTCTTTCTTATATTAACTAGTTGGACTCTCTTAATTATTTAGATTCCTTTAGATAATCAAAGTTCCCTCGCTATAGTATTTATAGTTCGAATTATCTTTACCTTCTTACGCGAGTAACAAGAATCCGCGGACTCTATAACTAGAAAGTAGTAAACTATAATAAAGATAATTAGTTACATAGCTTTCAATATATTAACTAGGGGCTATTATAGCTTCTTGTCTTAGTATTTTATATCTAAGAACGTGCGCACGCTACATAGGATTGATTTAACCTAGTTATCGATTTCATTTTGCAGCAGCTTCTAGGTTTCCTGTTTATGGAGTCCGCGCATTCTTGTCACCCGCGTGCTCCTCTACCTTTGCATAGTATACTTCGATCCTTTCTCGATAAACAGTCTCAGATCAACAGGCGCAGATCGAAGTTGATCCGCCTGAATCTCTTCCACCAAATCGTTTCCAGGGTACTCATCAACATTCAGGTCAAGATACCCTCTCGGTGCCCACTTCCGTGGAGAAATAAACAGCGACCGACCATTGATGCTAGTGTCGCTGAGCAAGCGTAGAAGAGCCTGTCCTGCATCTTGTGTTGTAGCCATTTGTACGCCGCAGTTCTCGACGTGATCGAAGCTCGCTTCGGTGAGGATTTTGGTGCGGACATACCTCGACCAGTTAGGATCATGCGGCGTGAGAGAGGGGGTGAGGGTACCGTACCATGGTGATAGCATGTTTACACGGCTGCCGTAGAAATGTGCTGTCCTTCGCAAGGAATGCATGACTCCGCGTATACCCCATTTCGTACCCGAGTATTGAGGTCCGCGGGGAACATCAAGAAATGCGGCTCCGGAGCCGATCAAGATGAGACATGTATCTACCTGGCTCGGTGACGGGGTCTTGCCGTTGAGCTTAATGAAATAGTGCATGGCGAGCTTGACCGTATAAAGAACACCGCGCATGTTAACGTCGATTATGTTTAACCTGGGTTCTGTCGGCGTTGAGTCTGGACCTGGTGCTGAGTCAGCTCATGCCACACGTTATGAACGAAAGAGAGGCTTACCGTCGAACGAGAAAACATCGTCGTTGCTGGCGATTCCAGCATTTGCGACGACGTAGTGGATCTTGCCTGCTTTTGCTTCTGCTTCCTGGAAGAGGCGCAATTGATCTTCCCATTTGGTAACGTCGCATTTGATGAATTGAGTGCTTTGTCGATGTTAGCGAGGCTTCAAATGGTGTGTAACTACAGTGGCTTACCCTGTCAGTTCTGATGCGAGCTTCCCTCCATCTTCCTGGTTCATGTCGCCAATGAAGACATTGGCCCTGTCCATCCTGTTATAGTGTACCTATCATTAATCTAGGTTTGCGGTCGTGCTTACTTTGCGGCATGAAGTGCCCGAACATAAGCTTCTCCAAGTCCATTGGCACCTGTCGCCAAGTCAGAGCCCGGTCGCAGAAGGTTACTCCATCTCGCGAAGTCTTCATAGATTGCACCAGTGGGCAGTAGCTTACCTCCTGTAACAACAGCAGTCTTTCCCGCGACGTTGCTAGAGTCGAAGTCCACGTCACAGTTAATGGGAGTCTCTGGCGTAGATCCTGGCATTTTATGGAAGTTGCAGAGCAAAAAGGATGTTTAGATTTCGATAATGGCAAAACTTGATCCCGATCGTGCCATAGCAAGGGCGGAGCAACCGTGCTCTTTGTATTCCATAGAAGGAAACAATGTGATTGTGCGTCCATTGCGGTTCATGCAAGCTGCTGACAGCCTGAAACGCGCTAACGCAGGGTTTATATAGGTCATGAAGCGTGGCACAGTGTTTGCGTAGAGCGTTTTTGGCTCTGCTTGCGACATTCGTTCCGTAACGCTGGTTACTCGAGTCCACTGCGGGCGCTAACAAGCACATCCCGCGCCACTGAGCAACCCTACTTCAACGGGGCGACGTAGAGTGTCACGTGAGTGTCAGCAGCTTGCATACAATGACAGCATCCTATCCACTTAGCTGATCGCTATCACTGCGACGAGGGCTTGGCTGTGTCCATTCTAGACCCAATCACGCTCATTCATGTAAGCCAAAATCTTCCGATAGTCGCGGGTGATTTGCTGCCACACTGTTAGCCTCGGTGGTATTCACGTCGGACGCTATCCGTAGCAAAAGAACTTGTAGCAAAAAGTGGCCACCCAATGTAGAAGAGGACCATACAGGAACTGTAAGTGAGGATACCGGGATATTCCCGAAGATTTGCATCGGAACCGGAAGGCGTGCAGTTTGGAGCTATCACCGAATGCGGAAACATGCCTATTCAACGGTGAACCTTCCTCAGCGACCTACCCTTCTCTTCACAGTTATCTTGACTCCACATAGACTCTATCCTTGGTCCGCCAAATTCACGATGTCATCAACTTGCGTGTCGACACCTTTGCGATATGACGACGCAACTTACCAATCTCTACTCAATGCCAAGAGTAACAATAATTTAAGAGAGAGACCAGTCCGGTTTTGAACAGCAGCCACACTTCCTTCAAGCGCTCTCTGTTCAGAACAACAATCATCTCAAGTATGGCTGGTATAATGCGTGCTGTCGCCCAGTTGGGTCAGGCATTGAATGTTTCGGTCATCGACCTACCTATTCCGACCATCCAGAATGCAACGGACGTCATCGTCCGCCTGAACGCCACAGCGATTTGCGGCAGCGACCTCCACAGTTACCACGTTCAGTCTGGATCACAGGATCAGCCATTCCTGTACGGTCACGAAGCCATTGGCTATGTGACTGAGGTTGGCGATGCGGTACAGTTCTTGAATGTCGGCGACTATGTTGTCATTCCGGACAACCTCGACAACGGTCGCTATACTTTTGAGCCGGACACCTATGTCGTGCCCTTGGGCTTCGGTGGTCTTCAGGGAGGAGGCCCGCTCCCCGGTCTGCAGAGTAAGTGATGCTTACGCATCTGATATGAAACTAGATCTTGGTTACTAACTATGCCCTTTCTTCTAGCCGAATACGCTAGGATTCCTTTTGCCGATAACTCTTTGATTCCCGTGCCCGTCAACGAAACTACCACTTTCGAAACGCTGCTCGACTACCTCTTCGTTTCCGGCATTTTCTCCACTGCTTGGTCTGGTGTAACCTTCTCTGGGTTCAAACCAGGAGACACTGTTGCTAGCTTCGGTGCTGGCCCAGTTGGTCTACTTGCTGCTTACTCTGCTGTTCTTCGTGGCGCTTCTCGTGTCTACTCCGTCGATCATGTGCAGAATCGTCTAGACCTCGCTGCCTCCATCGGTGCCATTCCCATCAACTACCACGAAAGGAACCCTGTCCAGCAGATCTTGGAAAGGGAGCCGAATGGCGTGAGGCGAAGCGTTGAGGCCGTCGGCTTCGAGGCGGAAGCCGTCAATGGTACCATCGATTCATCCCTCACTTTGCGCGAGATGGTCAACGTTACGGCTCCTGGCGGCGGAATGGGCATTGTCGGTCTCTTCAACTCTACTTTGACGGATTTCAACATTGGCCAGGCATACGAGAAGACAATATCGGCCAACGGCGGCATCGTTCTTCCTCTACAGGTTGTGTCGGAATTGGTGCCTTTGATTACCTCTGGTCGGGCGCACCCAAGCTTCATTATCAGCAGCATCATAGACATCGAGGAGGCTCCTGAATACTATGCTCGCTTCAACCGACGCGAGGAGAGCAAGGTTGTGATCAGGCTCTAAATTGCTGACTGAGGCTGGTGTGGTGAACTGCTAAACGCTACACATTGCATTAGGTAGACGCTTTGGTGGGATTCATTAAGTAGGAGAGCATTTCCGTGGCGAGATGAGATATGCTGGGGTTGATAATCGATATATAGAACAAGATGATAGATTTTATGAAATATGCGTTTAAAGGTTGTTTCATCGATAAAGCCTCCTTCATCTAGAGAAGTATTAGCTATAGCTTCAAAAAGCATCAATCAATTCGATAGTCGAAAAAATGATGCGGGTAATATTTTGAGACTAAAGATTTATACATCAAATTGCACATGTCAAGACTCTATCCCACTTCACGCCCCGGTCATCAAAAGATGCTAGGGACTCCAGAATATAGTTCGTGGAGTTCCAGCGATATCCCACTCCACTCCAACCAACCCGCTAAACTCTTGAACATGCTAAAGTACTTAGCTTGCATATGACCCAGCTTGCCACGCTAACCCAAGCTTAGCATGCATAGCCAGATATGAACAAGTCTCGCCTTAACACTTACTATAATGATTTCCAAATGAAGCATCGCCCCTCCGTAGCGTCTGGATTGTTGGTGTCTGTACGCAAACGGTGGGATTTCATCAATGCAGTGCTTGACAGCCGGGAGGCGGACCTCTCGACCCCATTTGAGGATGTTGTAGATGACGCGGTGCAGATCGTGAGGTGTCTAGAGTCGAGAGAATGACGCTCCAGAATTGGCGCATCTTGTAGGGGTTGTAGCCTTCCTCGTCGGTGCGGCGGAAGTGGACGTGCCAGATGACGTGGGTGCTGTCCGTGGCCATGGAAAAGACCATGCTGTCGGCGGCGGAGGGGGCTTGAGTTGCCGTACTGTCGATGCAGCCTTAATCCGGGGCTGGGAAGTCAAATCCACCGTCTCGCATGGTAGGAATTGGCGTTGGAGCGCAGCCCCCCTCGTCTCTGTATTCCACACCTAAGCACTCCATACAAAGATGTGCTCCACCAAATGTCCTTGGGCCCTCAAGACCAGCCGCATTCGCAACCTCTACCGCGTTGTAGTCGCAGCAGAGGAGGCCTAGATTAATGGGTCGCTGGGCCTTAAGAGCGCTCTGGCGGAGAGCGTCGATGCGCCTGCGTTCGTCGGTTTCGCCGTTGGCGTGGAGTGCCGGTGGCTCAGAAGGTAGGGAGGGCGATGGCGTTGGACCGGCGTCTGCATTGCAAAGTTCCGGAGTGGTCGCTGGCGGGCTCTGCGTGCGTGCAAGCGGTTCGGCGGGTTGAGGAGACTCGGCAAGGTGTAAACGTGCTCTCCTCGAAGCCGTCGCTGAGACATCGGTAGCGCCTCTAGTAGTGTCCGCCTCCCTTTGTCTCTTTGTTGGGCTGTTGCTCCGTCCGCGCGGCTGTATTCCAAGAACGCAACATAGATGTTCACGGTCGAGTTCCTTCACATCCCAAGCTCTTCCCGTCTCCTGCCTTAATGTGACAAGTCTCTTCTCCCCTCTAATAAGAAAGTTCCGGATGCCTAGAAAGATGGCCCAGGCGAGTCGCGCAAGGAGGAAAGCGGGATTAACGGAAGACGGTATCTCGACGGCCGTGTTATGATACTCGGGGCCTAGATTAGAGGTCGGTGTAAGGAAATGCGACACCCACTAATCCCGCTTACGCGTGAAGACGAATTTACCGGCATCGAACGAAGGGTAAATATCCGACCTAAGCGCTAAGGCATTTACCGTGTCATCTACCAAGCCTAAGCCAATAAGAGATCCGCTGATATTATACCTGTCCATCTCCTGCTATGTAAACCATTATACCTTAGAACGTGGACAGAGGTAAGCGCGCTCGATCCCGTCCTGATAGCTACTAAGGCGGTAGCTTCTGTCGCGATCGCGGACGGCTTAGGAGACGCTAGAGATCGAAGGGACTGGAAAAAGGGAGGCGATATTCGCAGTGAGGTTGGGATTGAAGCTCCATCCTAGCGGAGGGCTGTCATGCGGGAAAGACCAGTGCTAGAAGGAGGGGACAATAGGATATCTGTAGGCTCCGCGTGAGCGTTCCTCCTCTAGGATATGTATCGGCTATGGCATATAGAAGAAGTAGTCTCTACCCCTTAGCAGGGCCTCCTTATCTAAATACACTTTGTTCCCCCGCCTCCCTTCTATGAGCTATCCATTCCAAATATTCCCAGCGATGATTCCGCAAACCAGAAGCGCCGTTCTACTATAAAGGCCGCCGCTGGGTCTGTTAAATGCGGAGAGCTCGATTAGACGTGTGGAATCGTAAGCTAGATAGTAAAAGCTAACACGGTGGCCGATTAAGGAGCAGATGTGATTTAATATAAGATAGGGCATGCGGTCGCGAATCTCTACTAGGTCATGGTTGCGGTCGGCAGGCGCAGTGGCTATGAAGAGACGAATGTTGGAATATTAACAGCTCTGGAGGCTGGGGCCCGCTTAGAATGTGCTGCGCCGTGAGATCGGTGCGCCCAAACAGTAAGAGCTGAGATGAATAAGCAGGTAGATAGCGGTGATGTGGTGTTGATGAAGGTATTGAATTGCTATTTTAGGATCGTCGTATTGCGACAACAGAAAGATCCGTATGACGATAAGAGATACGAAGTTTACCCGGCATGTCTCGGTGTACGCGGCTCGATTAATAACGCGTAAGCGCAATTCAGGGTACAGCTCGAAGCACCTAGAAAAAAGCTCCGGCTACCCACAAGTAAGTACTTAGCACTACTTATACCTAAGCTTACTAGAGCTAAGTCTATCTATAAAGTTAAATTAATAATATATCTACGTAATATAATCTATACATAAACTATATATAATTTATATACTTTAACTATAAGATACAAAGAGAGTTCTAGGCTTATTCTGGCTTTCTACTAGTAATATACTAGCTAAGCGAGAGTATATAGCTATTACATCTATATAATAGAAGTTTAGTAGAATTTAGTTTTCTACTCAACTATCTATTATTCTAGATTTATATACTCTATATAAAGGATTTTCTTTTCATTAAGCTTACCGTATCTTCTAAATCTTATATAATATCTTATATGTTAATTTAATTAATTAAGTCTCTATATTAAGTCTTTCTATATTATAATATTACGTTATATCTACTAATTATCTCTTATTATCACCTTTACTATAGTCTACTATAATTTTCTCTACTTCTACTAATATATCTACGCCTATAGATAGTGTTTCTAACTCTCTATAACTTCTTTTAAATATCTAAATATCTATTATACTTACTAAAGTAATCTTAAAGCACTCTAATTTCTAGTATAACTTCATCTATTATCTCTTAAACTTATTTAATAGAATATATATATATAGTAGTACCTTTAAAGAACAAGTTAAAGACTTTACATAATAGCTTAATACTACAATTATTATATACTCTAAAGTAATCTAGTATATCTCTTAATTTACTATCTAAGCTATTTATCTAAATATTACTATATCTAAGAAGTTAGAGATGCTTTCTAACTCTAAGCTATTTTTTAATTCTAACTATACTACTCTCTGTTTATTTAGTATAAATATCTATATAAAACTCTATACTAATACTAATTAATACTTTACTAAAACTACCTAAATCTTATATCTATCTTATTATCTTAAAGATACTATATAAGTACTTTTTCTTCTATATTTCTATTTAGATAGTATACTTAAGTTTAGATTTATTACATAGTTAATTAAGTAACTTAAACTATTCTTTAGCAATCTAAACCTAAAAGTAATAGCTTAAGCTAAAATTACTAAACTTTACTAAAAGAACTGCGACTTTATCTTCTTTGCTACTAAGTTCTAATATTATATTAATAATACTAGGTATAATAATAATAGAAAGAAGTCTATGCTTTACTTAAGCGTGTTAATTAAGATTTAGAACGCCCTTATAAGCTAAGAAACTAAGAGTATAAGGTACTTTACCTCTTTTAAATCTACTAGTATATTAATAGAGGCCTATACGCTATAGCTAGAGCTTTTACTAGTACTTTATTCTTCTAAAAGCGTATCTCTCTAGCTCTACTCTCTATAATTAGTATCTTTTATTTAGCTGCTACTCTCTCTACTACTTTACTTACTTCTTATACTATACTAATTATACTATAATCTACTTCTATATCTTATACTTATAGCAATTCTATAGATCTTATAGTAAATTGCATCTAGTAAAACTTCTTTGTATCTAGAATAAAACAATAGCGTTTTAATAATAATAAGTGCCTCTATTATAGTAGTAACTATATAGTTTATAACTATCTAAAGAAATCTTATATATCTATATATACTATTAACTTTAGTTCTATCTCTAGTATCCTATCTTCTACTACTCTATCTAATAATCTAGTTTATTTAGAGAATTTAGTTTCTACTATAAGTTATTTATAGAATTGAGATTCTCTTTCTTATAATCTCCTAGTTACTTTAGTAAGACTTTAGTAAGACTTTAATAAAGATAAATATTTTATAATTAACTATATCTTAGTTACTAGTTTTAATAAATATAAGTCTATCGCTCTTATTAATACTAGAGTATCTAGTACTACTTTTATTAACTAAACTTATATAAAAAACCTCAGCATTTATTTCCTTTCTATTAGTTTCCGTATTGCTCTTAAAGTTATTAATAGATGCTCTATTACTAGTAATATTACCTATTTTATCTAAGTTAAGTTCTTAGTAGAGTTATTTGAATAGATTTCTACTCTCTTTATTATTTATTTTAGTTACTTTTTAGTAATTCATAAATAATTCTAGCTACTAGCTTACTATACTATACTCAATACTAACTAATAACTATTAGTACTCTCTAATAGAAACACTATTCTCTATATCTATCTAGATTCTATTATTATCCCTTAGAAGAGAGCTATAGAGCTACTTAATCTTAATTTACCTCTATAAAAGGCTCTAGATATCTATATAATTAGTACTATACTCTTTGCTTATCTAGTAAGTACTAAAAAAACTAGCTATTAACTCTCTACTATTATAATA